GTTGTAGAGATGTACAATATGAATATTTGAATATCGTATTCAATTTAATTGAATTTTTGAGTTAAGGGATTTGTAAGGGACGTATTAGGATTGAATTTTATTATTCAAATGTGTATAAACCATATTTGTAGGCTGGAATATATATATTATGGTTCTGTATTGAGATATTCATGCATTTAAACCCTTGAGTTTTTATACAATAGAAATTTTTTTAAAAGATTGCATTTCTAGCCCATTGGTCTTATACCATCAACACATAGTTCTTTGGTTAAAGGTGAATTTGTGATGTTCATATTGTTTTTCAATTGTTCTATCTTGGAGAGGCTTGATGCATGATGAATTCAATGTAATAGTTGATGATGTAGTTAAACGTATCCTTGGAGATAATGTCTCCTCTTTTTCTTCCAATATGTAAGAGCATTCCGTTGTTCTTTATGAAGTACAATTGTTTGTTCCTGCACTGCCTTTTGGCTATATCCTTTGCATTTTATTTCAAGTCCAAGCATCATTTTCATTAAAAATCACGCATCTACCCTCAATTTCTTAGTTTTTAGAATATATAATCAATGTTCATTTTTATTCATTACTGTAACCTTGAAAAGTACATTTTTCACTTTCTTTTTCTTTCTACTGGAACACGAGTATAACAAATGCAACAAAAAAATTAAATTCACTAATTAGTGGTTTTATCCTACTCCTGGTTTCTAAAGGCATTCAATTCAGATTTTGTTGTACTTCTATGTAAGCAAATAAATTGCAGTAAAAATTACCTTAACATAATAAAATACTAGGGAGAGTTTTCTCGTTAAGCATTTAATTCTTGTCCTTTCAACTATTGCCTTATTTTTACACTTTGTAACTCTATTTTGTGGTGTACTATATGTAGTAGCTTGCCTATGAACACCAACTTTTTCCTAAATTTTTTTAAATTAATGAGAAGTAAACTTTGCACCTCTATCATGGCATGAATTTTTTATTTCCAGATGGTTTTGACACTCAAACAGGAGTTCACAATTACCTGAAAATATAAAAGGCTTTTGATTTTTCTTTGATAAAATAAACACATGACATTATTGACAAATCATTTATAAAGAGAATATTGTCTTGGCTAAGAGTTGGGGATTGCATTGTGTATTTATATGAACGAGCACCAATGGTGCTTTTGCCCTCCATGCTTCCTAATAGGAAACATTCTCCGACTATATCTTTCTAGAACACAAGCCTCATGAATTTTATTTTTATAATCAACGGATGGCAAGCCTATCACAGTTTTATTATTAAAAAAACCTATGCCGCCATAAAGTTTTTAAAGTCTGATGGGAAATGGTACACCAAAATAGTATTTTGGTGCATGGAGATATTTCCCTTTTTAAAATTGTATTAAACATGGATAGACATGCTTACAAAGCTAGAGCCTTCCTAAGGCTTTCTACACAAGCTCCCCTTTATCTGCCACCACTTTGTTTTTTCACTGTTCTTCAAATAGACATTTTATGGAAACCTCAGAAGTTCCATATTTTCTTCCATATCACCCTCATCCAAATCTCCTCCTTTAGAGTAGCAGCCACCATCAATTAAACAATTCTCCACCCAGAGTCTTAGACAATGCAAGGTCTTAACTGCACCACATACTCAAACACCAACTTCTATTATCAGCTGTAAACGGCACACTAACCAAATCATCAACAACTTTTAAATAAGATACACCCCTAGAAAATGTAACAACAATACCTTGATCTCCAAATCCAAATCGTCGGTTCCTTCAATATGCCATTCCCAGTCAACATGAAAATCCTTAAAATCACTTTTTTTCCACCAAAGAAATCAGGAGAATAACCATTATGGACCAACCCAATCATCCCAGTGTGAAGCCACAAACCTTGATATCAACATGCTTACGATACATGGGTGTAAGTCTGTGCTAGTCCCAACTCATTCGTGCACAAGGTGATGTTTTCAAAAGGGAGACAGACATGATGCTATGCAGCAAGAAGGTCAGCGTTGCCTTAATTGTAATAACATTATCTTCTCAAATCTCTCAAGATTGAATACAGATGTTCCTAATGTGGGCCATGATACAAAATTAACATTGTAGGGACAAAAAGAGAGGGAAAATACCTGGCCTTCTAAACACATTGACCTACTTTGAAGTCTTGCCCAAACCAGATACAATAGTTTTGTGGTACTATTGGTAAAATATTTACAACCCAAGATGGTCAAAATCCTTGGCTTGGGATGATATTTCAGATATTTCTTCCAACTCCATGAAAGAAATGACCCATTTCCTATAATCCACAAATAAATGTTAAACATAGATTTCCTACATGAAGCAAATGGCAGTCACTGCATCAATCGATCCATCATATGGAGTAAGAGAAGAACATAACTGAGAATTGCCAAAAATATGCCTCAAGCATTCCAAAACACCGTGTCATTGTCGGAAGCTAACAGAAGATAGAATAGGTACTCTACCCTCATGATAGCCTATGGTTTTGGATAATTGAGGAATGCAATATCTTTGACTTCCCAAACATAAATATTGTTCATTACCTCAAAATCCCATCGAAGTGGAAAATTGTCAACAATCTAATACATATTACAAGTTGCTAAGGGACTGATCAAGACCGAAGAGAATCCTTAAAACAACAAAGTCCACAATAGTATCACTCACCTTCTCAGCTCCCTGCTTGGATGGCAAAAGAATAACTGGAAAAGCAATGTCATATCTACATTATAGTTCATCATATTGGTTTAACAGGGACGGAGAACCTCCATAGCAGGCAATGACATTAAGGAAGTCTTATGATACTGTCAAAACACCTACAGAACCTTCAGGACTCCTGATCTTAACACATAGCAATTGCAGTGAGCTACAAATGCAAAAAGAGGGTAACACGTAGCAGTTGCAGTGAGCCACAATATACAAGCAATTGGACCGAGACACCACCTCAACCTCTCTTTTTTCCTAAAATTAAGATAACTCAAATTCTAATTGCATGTCAGAAGTATGCGTAGTGCATGCAAAAGTGAGGAGAGAAAAGCTAAAAGTCTATAAACAACACTTTCAGGGGATATGGAACCTCCCCTATGGTCAGTCATAATTGGATGAAATCTCCCAAGTTTTAAGTGATATCTACCCTCCTTGGCAAGGGAGTCGGCCAACTCATTAGCCACTTAGTGAATGCACAAGAAAGACAACCTCAAGAACTATATACTATTATACATCTTGAAATCCATTAACAAGTACAGGGATTGCTCAGATGGACTACAAATACGGCAAGACTTCAACTATAACTTGGGAACATGACTTGAAAAAACTTCTTTCCTATAGTAAAAGTTTTACTCAGAAACTACCATCTAAAATAACTTCAGATCTCTGTCTAGGAATGGCATGACATGACTTACAAGGCACATATACACCTCAATTTTTAAGTACCTGCTTTAACATTTATTGGGAAGTGTAGAAAGCACAAGGATATGAGATGGCCTGTTTATCTTATTTTACTTAGCAAAGAGTATTTTCATCAAATCAAGTAGATATGCATCAATGATTGAAAACTTGGTCGAGTCCACTCAGCCACGGCCAAGTTATTTGGCTCCTTGCTAAAGCCAAGTACTCAGGTTCAACTGGGGCCACCTGTAAATTTTTTAAAATAGCAAAAAAAATATAAAATATGAAATCAATGTATAACTATGTATTTAATTTGGATTTTTTGAAATGATTTATGAGTTTTTCTTGTCATATGCCCAATTTTTATATTTTCTCAGTTTTTTGGAATTTTCTAAAATATCTCCAATTATAAACCAAGTTTTCTAAATCCATGTTTTGTCTACTTTTTTTAGCTTTTTTGGACTTTCTATATTGCCTTTGGTTTTGTTTCAATTTTATACTTATTATTCTACTTGTAAACATTTTCCCTTAGGATTCAAATGAGAAAGCCCTCCCTCAGGTCCAATACCTGTTTATTCCGGGGAGTGCTCTTCCTCTGACGGCAAGATGGGAGGAGGGGTACCCTTTCTTTCTTGAGGAAGGCAATGGAAAGTCCCACCAGATGAGATCAGATCGGGATCAACTGTTTCAAGCTCTGGATCTGGCCCTTGGATTCAAGGACAAAATTCCGTTCATTCGGTTGGAAAAAGTATAAGGTTCAGAAAAAGTATAAGGTTCTTTGTTAGAGCTTATGTTCCATCATGTCCACAGTTATCCCGATTCAAATGAACACAGCAATATATTATTATACAAGCTCTTTTAATCCTAGAAGCTTAAGATTTATAACCACAAACCCATGTGATGCTCTGCTGTACAGAAGTTATGCATGATTCTCATCTTTCTAATAAAATGTTCTGACTTCCGCAAGTTCAATATGTTTGTTCAATGAAAAAGCTCAGGAGGGTCAAAGATTAATATGGCTGACGATTATACCTGCTACAATCACAAGCAATCAACTTTTAAACCTCTAGAGGCATTCATTAGGGTGGGATAGAACCTCTGGTTACAGAGAGAGTCCTCAACTTCTACCCATCAATAAAACTTACAAAACTATATAAGTACCAGTTCCAATAATGCATAATAAAGAAGCCCAACCAGTAAAAGCGTTACTCTCATGGTGGAATAATATTCATCTTCATAAGAAGAGACTCACGTCCAGGAAAAGGATTAAATACACCACCCAAAGCCGACTTCTCTTCCAGTCCATCCCCACTGGCTCTGAGCTCTTCATTCCTGAACCTCTGCCTCCCTCTCCTACCTTCACGCCTCCGCCTCAATAGCTCCTCACGAAGACCACTCTCTTCACCATCTGCTCCATGAGGTACCCTAGACCCAATATGAGAAGAACCCTTATTTTTTTTAGAAGAGAAAACCTCTATATTTCTAGTTTGTGTAAAACCCTCATCTCTCTTAGAAGAGAAAACCTCTCCATCTCTCATATGAGCAGATCCCAAATTGTTCTTCAAAGGAAAAACCTCTCTATCCATCATTTGAGCAGAACCCACATTGCTCTGTCTCCGTAACATTGTATTATGGGAAGAAAAGCCCTTTCGATCCCTAATTCGAGGGATTCTCGCCCCCTTTGAGGTGCCCAAGAGAGAAAAATCAATCCGTTTCCAACCATCTGCATTATCATTGTCCCACTCAAACCTCTGGCTAAGCTCAAGCAAGCGATGAGAGATTGGATATTCAACACGAATGTTGCTATTACCAGTAAGGAGAGCATCAGCTTGCTCCCATTCAATTCGATCTAAATAAACAGGGTCTTCAAGGACCTCATCTGCTCTCTTTGCCCACTCCAAATAGTCCCCAGCCCTTAAATTTTTGCAGAGCCACCGCAAGTACTTCGAAGGGAGGGTACCCAGCATCGTCCCCTTGTATTTTCCGAAGTCTATGACCATGTCCCTTGCAGCCATTGAAGAAGAGGGGGAAGGAGAGAGAATACATTTCTTGGACCTTAAATGGGGTGGTTTGGGTTTGAAAGAGGACGAAGAAGAAGATGGTGATGGTGATGGTGATGAGAGTGAAACTCTAATGGAGGGTGAAGAAGTAGTTGTGATTGAGGATGGAGATATGAGAAACAGGTTGGGAGGAAGATAAGGAGAAGAAGAAGAGAGAGAGAAAGGAGGATAATGCAGTGACATCGTCGACCTGCTCTATATTTGCAATGAAGAATGGAATCAGAATCTCTCCGACCAGGGAGGAAAGGGGAGACCGCATTGGCGCACTGTCTGATTCTGAGGACCGAAAATCCAGTCCGTAACCCGGTTTCTATGCGACCAAGCCCGCATATGGAGAAATGTTGGCCTCTTATTAAATCTATTTTTAAGGTTGATTTTAAGACTTAAAAAAATAAATAAATTTTAAAAATTAAAAATAATAATAAACATTTAGACAGTTAGTTTCCATTATTTTTAAATGGAACACCTACGTGCATCCATCTTAAAGATGGATGCTTCACACTTTCAAAGCCGCATATGTGGAAATGCAATCCAGCCCGTGTTGCGTGCTCCTGCATGATCACAACTCCACCAGACAAAAGACCTACATGGTTTTTACGTTCTTCAGCTTTAAAATGGGAAATATCATAACACGTAAATTTAATCCTTCAAAATTTGGGAAGCTTCTATTGAATCTCGAGACATTACTTTCTTTTTTAATATATATAGTGTTTATTATGGAAATTCTTTTTACTAAGATTAATAAATAGGTTATTGCAAAAATAGAAAATCACATGCACAGAAAGAGACAAGATTTACGACAATGGCCTACGTCCACGGTGAGCATTGTATCATTTATTCTGTCATGGAAAAAATACATAGTCCCATAAAAATCTATCATATCTCATGATATATGTTAACCTCCCAAAAATAAAAAACAACCAACAAGAAAACCACGGTAGGACAGACTGGCAATGTGGTGGCGACGAGGTGGCAACACATTTTCAACACTCTCCCTCAAGTTGGTGCAAAGATATCAATAGAGCCCAACTTGGAAAGAATTTGTTAGAACCTTGATTTTCATACTGCCTTTGTAAATATGTCGGCAAGCTGGTCTTTACTTCGAATATAAGGGGTGCTAATTATTTTATCTTAAACCTTTTCGCGTACAAAAATGGCAATCGACTTCAATGTGTTTGGTTCTCTCATGAAATACAAGATTAGTAGCAATATAAATAGCAGAATAATTATCACAAAACATTTCAATTGGTTCTTTAGTTTGAAATCCCATGTCTTGGAGAAGAGACTTTATCCAGATATTTTCACTAGTTCTAGATGTTATAACTCGATATTCAGATTCTGCACTTGATCTGGCAACCACAGACTGCTTTTTACTTTTCTAAGTAACAAGATTGTCTCCTACCATCATACAGTATTCTTTTGTAGACCTTCTATCATTTTGATTTCCAGCCCAATTTGCGTCAGTATAGCCCATAATATTGACATGTGAATTATCTTTCATCAAAATTCCTTTTCCTGAAGAACCATTTAAATATCTTAGAATTCTTTCAACGACTTCAAGGTAATTTGTTCTAGGAGTATGCATATACTGGCTGACAACTCCTACATCATGACATATATCAGGACTAGTTATAGTCATATATATTAATATGTCTACCAATCTTTGATATCTTCCAATATCCTCAAGGGATTCTCCATCAGATGAATAAATCTAACTGTTTATCTCGAAGGAAGTTTCAATTAGTTTCACTCCTAAGTTTCCAGTTGCTTTTAATAAGTCCAAGGCATACTTTCGTTGAATCAAAAATTTTCTTTTTTTAGAATAGGCAACTTCCATCCCTTGGAAATATTTCAATTTTCCTAGATCCTTAATATCAATTTTTTTGTGAAAGTAAGCATTTAAGTTCGAAATCCCTTATTCATCATTTCTCGTGATAACAATGACATTAACATAAATCAACACAATAATAACTCCCTTCAAATTTCTCTTTACAAACATGGAGGAGTCAACGGAGCTTCTCTTAAATCATACTTTAAATAGAGCATCACTCAACTTAGCGTACCAAGCCCGGGGAGATTGTTTTAATCCATATAAAGTCCTTTTTAATTTGCATACAATTCTAGGCTTTCCTTCCATGGGATGTCCTAGAGGAAGATTTATGTAGATATCTTCTTCTAGATCTCCATGTAGGAAAGCATTTTTAACATCCATTTGTTAAAGATTCTAACCATGGTTAACGACAACAGATATAATGATTCGAACGGTTCCCATTAGCAAAAGTCTCCTTAGAGTCAATCCCATAGGTTTGAGTGAATCCTTTGGCAACCAACCTTGCTTTGTATCGTTCAATTGACGCATCACTATTATACTTGATCTTGTAGTTCCACTTACATCCAACATGATTTTTTCCAACTGGCAATTGGACAATATCCCACATGTGATTTTTGTCCAAAGCAAGTAATTCTTCTTTCATGGCTCTCCTCCACACAGGTTGAAAACGAGCGTCATGAAAAGATGCGGGCTCAACTTTTTCATAAATGTATGAAAGAAAAGCATAATATAATTGGGACACATTGTAATAAGATAAATAGTTTTGAATGGGATATGAACCAACATGATAAGTAAAAAAGTCTTTCAAATGTGAAGGATGACGAAAAACACTATCAGACATGCGTAAGGATGGAAAATTAGGAGAGTTAGCATCATGAGATAGGACCACGAGTTCTTCTTGTTCATGATCACCTGATTCTCCATGTTTTTTAACAAGATCCCTTTCAACATTATTTTAGTGTTCTTTCTGATCTTTTTGGATGATTTGTGTGTTTCTACCATTTATTATAGGAAACATTCCTGAACACTCACCCTAATTCCCTTTATCAAAATTGCTTGATTTGAAATTTTGGAAAAATGAATCATTTTCATTTAATGTTAGATCCCGAGAAATATAAAATTTCTTATTTTTGAAGTCATAACATTTATATCCCTTTTTTATTGAAAAGTGGCCCATAAAAATGCATTTAAAAGCCCGAGGATCCTATTTATCTCTTCCTTGAGAATTATTGTGAACAAAGCAAACACATCTAAATATACGTAAATGAGATATATCATTTTTCTTTCCCTTCAGAAATTCAATTAGAGACTTATTCCCAAATACCTTGCTTGGTAGCCTATTAATCAAATAACATGTAGTAAGAATATCTTCAAACTAAAAAAATTTAGGGACATTTTTTCGAACATAATAGATCGAGTAACTTTAAGCAAGTATTTATTTGTCCTTTCAGACACCCTATTCTGTTGGGGAGTAGAGACACAAGATGTCTGATGTATAATGTCTAGATCCGCTAGATATTAAGAAAAAATATTATTTATATATTCGGATCCGTTATCCGAATGTAGAATTTTGAACTTGGCAATATATTGGGTTTTAACTAGATTTGAAAATACCTTAGATTTTTCAAAATACTTCACTCTTGAATTTAAGCAAATATATCAAGGTCATCCTAGAGAAATCATCAATGAAAAGCAGAAAATATGTCAGTTCATTATAAGACTCAATCGGAGCAGGCCCCCACACATCAGAATGAATCAAGTCAAAAAAAATTTCAGCCTTATTTCCTGAAGGCTAAAAGGGAAGTCTTGGCTGCTTTGACAAATGACACACATCACAATTGGATAATTCAGGTTTTAAATAAAATAAAGATTTATTGGCAGGATAACGAAGTCTAGAATTCCAAATCTTGCTCAAGTATTCATTATTGGCAACCAAGACTTTATTCTTCTGATCAATATAATAAAGTCCTAGAGACAATTTCACTTCACCAATCATCTTCCCAGTGACCCGATCCTGAAAGGAAATAGTAGAAGAAGAAAAAATAACATCGTAGTTCAAGCTTTGAGTTAGTTTACTGACAGAAAGAATGTTTGAAGGGAATGGGTGCATAAAAAGAACATCATAATTGGTATTTTTTGAAAAAAAATTAGTTCTACCTATCCCTTTAACACGGATGAGTGAACCATTTGCAATTAAATACATGGACTTTATCAAACACATCTTGATAAGCAGACAAATAATTCTTATTTCCAGTCATATGATCTGTAGCCCTTGAATCAATACATTATTAGAGGGAAAAGGGGATTGGAGAGCATAACAATTACCTGACTCACGCGGAAGATCTTGTGTGGAAGAATAGCCATTTTTTGTAAAATGTTGAAAGAATTGAGTTAGTTTATCCATAGAAATCTGAGTATCGATAGTTTGAGCTAATAAAGGCTCACTCATTCGATTTATATTGCGTCTTAGGTGAGGGTGCTTTTCCCAACATCTATCAACCAGATGACTACTTCCTTTACAAGGATCACAACATATATGTGATCTATTCCCACGACCCCTAACTCCACCATAACCTCTTTTTTCAAACATATTATCATTTTTCTTCTCAGTATTCTCCTTAGCAGCAACAAATACATATTTTTCACTTATTTCATATTCAGACTTTATTTCAACATTCATAACCTTTTTTTGGGTTTCTTCCCAATGAATAATAGAACAAACATTTGTAAAAGTTGGGAGTTCAGTGGTCATCAAAACTGACTTCTAATATTCTCATACTCAGGTTTCAAACCAGCAAGGAATGAAAAAATTTTGTCTTGTTCAACACGCTTTTGAATGGTCTTCAGATCAATTGTTACGGGTGAATAAGAAATTAATTTATCTCATAATGTTTTGAATAGAGCAAGATATTCAGTAATAGTTTTATCTCTTTGTTTGATTTTAGAAATTTCTTGCTTTAACTCATAAACACGATAGAGATTGTTATTTTTTCCATAAACTTCTTTTTCCGAGTTCCACAGTTCTTTGGCAATATCTGCCGAAGTAAAGATCTCGGTCGTCTTTGGTTCCATGGAATTTAAAATCCAAGACATGACCTTGTGGTCATTGAATTGCCAATCTTCATATAGGGGATCATCAATAGCAAGGGCTATTTTCTTTCCATTGATGAGTCCTAACTTGGATTGTCCGTTCAAAGAGAGCAAGACAGCTTTTGACCAACTTAAATAATTTAGTTCGTTAAAAAAGATAGTAGTTAATTTATCACTAGTATTGGGCTCTTTTTCATGGATAATAGTTTTAGGTTCAGGGTTCATATTCACAATATCTTCCATAAAAAAAAAAACTGAACCAAAAACAAGAAGACCAAACCCAAAAAGAAGGAAACTAACCTAAGCAGGAGTACAGATTGAATAATATTGCTCTCAAAGCCCAAGAGGCAAGAGAAGGTACCAGAAAAATGAATACCCAAATCGATAGAAGAAAGCCACCTTGAAATAAT